TTCCTAACCTTATATCTGAACTAGTTAGGTGAAGTATATGTTTAAATAATTTAGCTTTTCCCAGTTAATATCAAAAATAATACTTCAAGTTAAAATCATGTTTATAATAAGTCATATACTGATATATAGTATATACATACTCATAATAATTATAAGCTATACTGACAGTAACTTTCCTAACACTGTAGTTAAAACTAAATAAATAATTTTTCTTGTATTCAGTGTTCATAATATGAAAAATAAATATTCATTAATTTAATAAGTTAGTTAGAAGCTTGGAACAAACGTTAAAGTAGGTATGTTTAAAAAAATACAATGTCGTCAATTATGGCAGCGGCGTGGCAGCAGATCATGATACGGCATGTGGGGGGGGGTTTGTAGACAACTACAGCACCGCGCCGGCGTAAAATTATATTATTATATTGTATAAACTATAAGGTGACGATAACGACGTTACGCAATAACAGATTATAAATTATAATATTATAACATTGTGACGACACAATAATATTATAATGCATCTATAATCTAATCTATATAATATAAAAATATATCTGTGTCTGGGGCTGGGACGATGGTGGCACGACTCATGTTGTACGTAGGTATAGGCGACTCCACAGCACTGCAATGCTGTCGCGCTACACTCGCGAACACTAAATACACACTGATATGATTACTGTGTGTATTTATTTTTATTGTTTTTTTTTTTTAATATAGTTCAATATTAATTTATTATGAAAAATATTAACATCACGAAATTATACAATGAGACTTTTTTTTTATATGATACATGAATACTCAGTTTACTGCGCATACCCATCCAAACTTTTTCTGTACAACGATTATACAATGTAGGTACATGTAGACCTTTGTTTTAATCATTTTAAGGGCTTTTTTTTTCCTTGGTGCTTTATAATGCTTTATCTCATGTAGAGGCAACCAAAAGTAAAATTACAGATCATGTTTTATGATGGTTTCATACCATGATTATTTTTAAACAAAATCTAAGAAGCACTTTAAATAATTAAAAATGTATTCGAGTGAAATTTGTTTTTTTGATATTTGAATTCATTTAATTTTACAAAAACATATTTTTCAACAAAATGTATGGATAGGTTATAATATAATAAACCATTATATTATTATACATTTTGTAATTATTATAATATTATCTTAATATAAATCATTACATTTTAAGAATTACAATTCATAACATATAACATTTGCCTTTTGATTATTTAGTGTGACGGAAGGTAGAAGCCATAATATATTATATAGCTTGTTATGCAATAGGTTAGGTTGGTTAGGTTGCAATATATATATAATATTATAATATATATTATTGCATTTACTAAATTGTCATTTATGAGTTATGACCGAAAGTAATAAATTGAAATATAACAAACGATATTCCTACTTTATTTAAAATGTTATTAAAAACGATATGTATATCTATATGTATATTTGTGTATCATTATGTAAACAGTAGAATAAATTTCCATTAGTTTTAAAGAAACTAGTTGTCTATTAGGTAGGTTTATGGTTTATTGTAGGTGTAGGTACCTCCTATTTATATGGTAACCACAATACATTGTTTATCAACTATACTGAATCCGTATTTATTTTTTTATTTTTTTATTTTATAATTTAACCAGCAGCAACTTAAGCCATTTGGTCGCTTTTAACTGTGGGGTAGGGTACTGTAAGTTTAAATATACGTGTGTTTGTTAGCTTGGCAGATTTTTTAGTGGGCACACGTAGGTATCTGCCATGACCGGGTTGGGGGATGGCGTAACTTCTCTCCGGACACCGTGACTTGCCCGAAGAAAAATGCCACCCACAGGCCACAACCGAGGTTTTGAACCGTCGTCGGTGAGCGCGTCGCAACCGACTCCTTAGTCCGCTCGGCCACTCCGTCCCCCTTATTTATTTTTATTTAACATTAATTACTCCTTTTCAAATTAAATTCACCTTAATACCTTATATAATAGTAGGTATACATATTGGATATTAATTTGTATACAGCATGGTGATCACCAGTGGCGTACGCAGGGAGGAGGGATAACGGGCCGAGGCCCGGGGCGGCGGGGCTCCCCCTATAACCGTATTATTATTACTTTAAAAAAGAAAAATGTTTATCAAGTTTCAACTGACAACTATAGTAAGCAAGACGTAAATTTAATATACGTCTTAGTAGAATGAATTCATTTTTGAAAAAAACATTGTATTTGCATACCAATTTTCCTAAAATTATCTGAAATCTTTCGGTAAAAGTATGAGCTACTTGTATGAAAGACCTTGTATTACATTTTCTAGGCTTAGCTTATACAAATTTAATATTTTATAAGTTTTGAACTACAAATTAACTGTGATTTTAACGAAATTTGAATTTTAAATGAGTGCTTATAAACAATGGCCATGATGCCTATGTATCGTTAATAGTTTAGCTAAAATAAAAACTTACATATTATATTATTAAGCTTTATGACCGGATAAATAATTTTTTTACTGACATTTATAGAAAAAAAAATTTTAATTAATCAATTACAATCCAAGTGAGGGCGGTAGAAACAAACTGGTTACCAAACAGTTTTAATAAATTTTCATTTTTTTCCTCCAATTGTTTTAAATTATATTGAAAAATTTAAAAAACCTGAGTACTCCAATGGTGATCACTGATCAAACATTCATACAGTTTACAGTCATTAAATTTATAATATCAACAATAACGCTGGTTGTGTGTCTATCAATTAACTAAAATTGGGGACGAACAATATTTGCAAGACCTACGGGCTACGACACGGTACAAAAAAAAAACTGATGGCAATATTATTGGAAAAAACTTATCAAATCAAAACCGTTCACGGTGGGTGTGAGAGGTGCTTGAATGCTTGAATGCTTGATAAATAGATAACTATCGTAGGAGACAATTTAACGACATGGCCTTGACGAAAAACTAAAAAAAAGTCTCAAATGATTAGGAAAATCGATTATCAAACGAACGAGTTTCATTGTGTCAACAGAACGCGTGTTTATTGCAGTCTATATACGGACAAAAACAGTGAAACGTTTTTCCGGGATATTACTGTTATAATAATTAATAATTACCATTAACGCGTTCCTATATTCATATGCACAAGGGAAACGCTACACACGTCACTAGTTAAATTCGTTTGCATTATAAAATATTGTTTCTTTCAGAAGGCACTGTGTACTGACAATACCCATGTATTCGTAACACGCGCAAATGCCGATTATGCACCAGCTATACCTAAATAATTATAGTACGACGCTGCAGATATTTCCATTGTATAATAATAAATAATAATACGATATAGGTACTCAAGCGGTTGACTTTATTATGACGTACAATACTACAATAGTCCTACAGGTTGTTATTCTCCAAGCATACGGTCGACCAACATTTTTAATTTGATACCTACAATTTTGTTTTTAATCAAAATATGATTTTAGATATTTTTAAGTAGGTATATACACTACAAGTCCATATTTTTAAATATTTTCTAAAAGTACTTTTTCAAACCATTTAATGCGTGTTCTGTGTTTATCTTTATATAGCATGAAATGTCGATTCATTTAAATCAAAATCCAAACGAGTAGTTTCTGAGTTATTTAACTTTATGTGTAGGTACTACAGATAATTTGTCCCGAATAATAATTATACATAAAATATAAAACTGTTGTAATTTCGATTAGAAAAAAAAATAGTCTAGTATATTTATTATACTAGCTCATACTATACAGCTTTTAAAAATTATAAAATGTTAATATAATACCTAATTTATTAGTTACTGTAAATTTTAAATTATCATATGGTATCATTTAAGCCTATTAGAGTGGACTATATATTATTTTCCGTAGTACATACAGTATAATAAGTAATAACTTAGAAAGTATTTGTTCAAATATTCATTTAAATACATCAACATTTTCATAAGAATTATCTCCTTTACAGTTAACAATAAAAAAAAAAAATAATAGTAATTCTACTAAATATTCAAGTTCGAAAAAATAGTTTTTATTACTGTTGTTGTGTACACTCTCCTTAAATGTTATAGACAGACCCAAATATTTTGAGAATTTAATCTTTGAGTATACTTACAAAGTCCGATTTTCTGGATAATTTGTATAAATGCATATGTACTATTATAATAAAAGAAAACATTTGGGATGAGCATGGTTCAATGGTTGGTGAATCATTCAGTATAAGAAAGTATTGTGCGATAATGCCTAACGTAAGAATAAGACGAAAAACGTAGGCCACGGAGCTTAGTTGGCAATTGATAATAATTATAGTTACGAATTCAACTGTTAAAAGGTAGGTATATGCAAAAAAATGTATAACCTACATGTGACTACAATATATTATGTACATATACACATATATAATGTTACTTTTATAATAAAATTTTCTGTATATAATACTGTATAGTTCCATAGGTATTGCACTGTTTAAATACAGCCGGTGTTTAACAAATGTGTTTCGCACAATATAGGGTCGGCGGCGGTCGTGTATGGAGATAACCCAAAAAGTTGCCCCCCTCCTCGCGCAAACGCACACAAACACACACCGCCGGTGTTTAGTCATCAGACTTGAAAAAAAATAACAATACTACCTATACGAAAAAAAGGGAAAATAATAATAATAATAATAGTAATAATAGGCAACGTCAACAACAATACATATAAAGTACATGGCGTCTCGCAGACACGATCCCAACAACGCGTAAGTACGACCCCCCGTGCCTATACCATAATATCGTGTTTTAGATATTATCCATCTTCTTTTTTGTTGTTGTTTTGATTATACATTTTCAATCACTAATATATCTTAAAACAAAACAACAACAACGACAACGACGACGACGACTATAAAATATTTTACATAATGTTTACTAAAAACGATTTCCGAAAATTAATATCGTGTTCATAATTAATATTATTGTTTCTGGTGACGGCGGAAAAGCGAAACGCTCAGGATGTCCACGCTACAGGCCCGGCACCGGGGCCACAACATACCCGACGGCGTGACCACTTTCAACGAGATCGAGTATGACCGCGAGGGCGGAGTGTTCCTCAACCGGACCAAGCTCGTGTTGCTGGTCATCATCGTTTTCCTGTTGACCGCGTTTTCGGCGTTCCTCGGACGGTACACGGCCGAACGACAAATGAGACAGGTAAATCGGAAACGAACCGTAAGAAGTAAGAACTTAAAAACTCACATTCGACTGTCGACGGTTTTATTCGTTCAAAATTATTTCCATACAATATTATTTTACATAGGTACGATATATGACCGTCTCACGACAGTGATCGTCTAACCAAATCAGTTCAAATACACATAGTTATTTACAATGAATGTCAGCGAACCATGTTTTATTTTATATTAGAACTTACTTTTGATTGAAATTATTGATAATCATACAAGCCATGAATAATTATTTTAAAAAAACACACGAATTTAGTTTTTCCATTAAAATATAATTTTCTTCGTAAATTCGGTTAAAACCAACTCTGAGTACAAACCATCGGATTCAAAATTATCATGTCGTATAATTGTCCTTTAATTTCTATTCACGGCAGTGTTGGGTAGTAACGTAATGAAAGTAACGCGTTAAGTAATTTCATTAGAATTATTTCTAAGTAACGAAATTGTAATGGAAATTACTTTTGAACAGTAATGTCTGCAGAATAACGCTTTACAGTAACGAATTATTAAGTACATACCTACCTATTTCGAATTGAAAAAATAATATATGTATAATTAGGTATTATTATGTTTACCAATTTAATATGGAATTTTAACTCTCCACAATTCAGTTTTCAATGGTTTTGACATTTTAAATGTTTAATTGCACCGTAAATCACTAGAACAGTTAAGGGAACTTTACAGTGGCATTTATTGTCTCCATTTTACAAGTGCTTAACATAGCAAATTTTAAGTTTAGCAGAACACGTTTATCTCCGTAAGTTTAAAAATTAGAGGTAATTGACTTCTTATACAATTTAAAGGTAAGACTAAATTATCTAGACAATAACATAGGATTCTTATTATATTTTAATTTTAAAGCGAGTTATGTGTATTTTAAAATTGTAAACTGTTTCATAAATTGTACATCTTAAAATACTCATAACTCGCTTTAAAATTAAAATATAATAAAAATCCTATGTCATTGTCTATATAATAATCTTACCTTTAAATTATATAAGAAGTCAATTACCTCTATTTTTTAAACTAACGGAGATAAACGTGTTCTGCTAAACTTAAAATTTGCTATGTTACCCACTTGTAAGACGGAGACAACAAATGCCACTGTAGCGTCCCCTTCATTAAATTTATTGTTGAATTTGATTCTTTTAAATAGGTTTCCTATGAATAGCTTATGTGAAAGACTAAGTTTTATACAATCCTATTAACCATACAGGTTCTATATAGAATTTGGTTGTTCAATTTGCTTGCAGAAAATAATTGCCAAGAAATTTAATTTTTTTTTTTTTTGTTACGAGAAAGTAATGAGTTACTTTTCTGTTTGAAAAGTAAAGTAATTTCATTACAATTTTATTTCAGTAACAATTAAAGTAACTTAATTACTTTTTAAAAGTAACTTACCCAACACTGATTCTCGGGCATTTCATTCAGTACCTAGGATACACATAGTTGTAAAATAACAATAGTTTTAATTTATATTTTATATTGTAAAACGTTAATATCTAAGCTTTAATAACTCCTAAAATATTATCTTCAGTTTACTAAATAAATAAATAATTTTATAACCTATAATAATTTTGACCTATGGTGTTTCCATATTATACTGCGTACCTACTCTATTGTTCAATTCCGTTTTGGTATAACTCATTGCAATAAGTGCAACTCAGCCACCCTGGTAGGCATTGTGCAAAAATTCGATTTGATGCATGCTTGTACCTGATCTGCTCGATTAACCAATAGCAACCAATAATAAATAAATACCATTTTTATTAATTGTTTCTCCTATAGGCTATAACCAAATGAATAGCAACCATTTATAAACAAATATTTTCATTGTAAATCCCAAAATCCTTGTTTGAGCACTTCTATTAATTGGTCGTTGGGTGATGTTATATAGCCTATAGCTTTCCTCGATGAATGGACTATTCAATAAAAAAATAATTTTTCAATTCGAACCAGTAGTTCCTGAGATGAGCTTGTTCAAACAAACAAACAAACAAACTCTTCAGCTTTATAATATTATAGTATAGAATATAGATATTACCCACCATAAAAATTTCCTGGATCCACCACTACCCTCAATGAATCTGATGAGAACATCACTAATGTTACCTAATGGCTAATAGTATCAATTAAAATTAAATCGAATTTGTTGTGTGAAAGTTATAAGCTATTATACAAGACATAAAATAACAATATTATTACCGGGGAATTTTAACTGTTTATATTTTGCATTTTGTACACAAATTAAGACATAATTCGAACACCTGTTTTAAATAATTATAAAATACACTTACTAATTGGTTATTGAACATTTAAATACCTACCTCTGCAGACGTCTGCAGAAGTATCTCATAAATGTTGTTCTTTTTAGTTTTTTCATATATTGAAAATCATTCAATTTTGTATTAAAAAATTATTATTAAAAAAATGTAATATACCTAGGTAAAAAAATATTACCAAAGAATTTTAGTAATTATAGATGAAAAATTATTATTAAAAAAATTTAATAATTTGGTAAAAATGTATTACACATTGCTTTTAAAAAATGGTATCTGATAAATGATAATGAGATAACTAGTATACCGTGGCATATAAAGACCCGTTAATCAACTAATACATAAATTAGGTCTCGGGAATCAACTCACCTTCTGTGTCTTAATCATATATGTATTTAATTTTTTAGCTTATTTGTTATCCTGTTTATTACATAATTGTTTGCGTAGCTTATCCTACTTAATTAACTCCTAACTATGTACCTATTACCAGACACCATTTAATTATAAATCCATAAAGAAAAAAAGGCTTAATAAATTATAAAAAATATACAAGTTGTTCTGCATTTAAAATGTGTTTACTGTTTAACCTATAACTTATAGTATACCTATCCGTAGGAACCTAAATTGATTTTAGATGTGAGCAATTAAGTAGACATTGTTAAATGTATGGACAATTTTATAATTTTTAATTTATTATTATATTTTATACTATAAAATACTTAAAATTATCATATTCAATGTAATAACCGAATGGATTTTGAAATGAGTTACTATTATAAATAGTTTTAATAACCTATGTATTAGTAATCTCTGTAGGTAGGTACATAAATAATAATAATAGTATTAATAAAATATTTTAAATTATAATTTAATACCCAGATCTCTTCTTAATAATAAAAATTTATTAGATCTATTAATTTGTACGTTTTGTTGAATAATATATTTTTTATTTACGCTCAGAAACTTTTGGAAGATTATAAATGACAAAAAAAATAAATACAGTTCTTGATTTTAAAATAAGACACGTAAGAATAATGTTGATAAGTTTTAAAGTCCTGTGTGGCATTCACAAAACAAACCACGTACATTGATAGGGTTAATATTGTCATTATTTAGTACATATATCGTGATTCGTTCGTAAAGAAGGCTGACTCGGGCGTTGCGGACAGTCAAATACCATTTTTGGCCGTCGAGCCAGAGAGTTACAAGGTTTTTTTGGACCCGAAGTTGTATGCCGCCGATGGGACGGTTTCCAAACACGATGTTGATTACAGCGGCAGAGTGGAAGTAATTTTCCGGCCCAAGACCGATACGTCCGTTATAAGCTTGCACGTGGGACTTTTGAAAATCGACGGCGACACGATGTTAAAGCGCAGACTGAGTATGGACACGCCGACGGAACAAGTCCTCAAAGTTAGTGAACTATGATTTACGAATCGATTTTAATGTAAATATATCCAATAACAATTATTCATTTTGACTGCCACGACGTTTCAGGACGATTCCAAATACGAGCTCAACACCGAGGTAGACGAAAGCCAGGAAACACTGACGGTGACTGTCGGTGAAACTCTTAAATCCGGACATTACTACAGTTTGTTCGTGAACTTCACGGGCATCATCGGAAGGAATCCCGAAGGAGGATTTTTTAAGGTAGTTTTGGATAACAAGGAAGCCGTGAAAAACCAATGGTATGTGGCCACGAAGTTAGCTCCTCGCAAGGCAAGACATTTAATGCCCTGCGTGGATAATCCGAAGCACAAAGCCATTTTCGAAATGAGCGTGGTCAGAAGCAAGGACACTAGTGTTATTTTTAACACCAAAGTTAGAGCAACGGAACCATAGTAAGTGAAATCAAATATTGTATACAATGATCTAGGTATTGTTGAAAACGAAAACGAAAAACTGTTGTTTTATACATTTTATCATTTATACTCACGATAATTTAATTTCTACAACGTTAGCGCAGTGGAGTGGTGGTCTAATAATTATTCAAGGGTGGGGATATGGCTGATTTTTTATCATGCACTGATTTAAAAAAATATAGTTTATGGTTATCATTATAGATACAGCTCTTAAAAATTGATAAAAAGGATCTATCAAGTAGGTAGATATTAATATTTCTTTTGATTGGGTATGATAATGACATAAATATTACATTATGTACATATATCTAGGTAAAAGTTGCAATAAAAGTTTTTAATATTATTTTCATAAGTTATAATAGACTAAAACATATTTCTAGTCTTTATTTAATTAGAAATAGTAGAAAAATATCTGATAAAACTTTCTAAAATACTGTTTGACACACTGCTTAAAAAAATAAATTAAAAAAATTTGGTTAATCTTGTTACAGCAATGACAATCTATTCGTAGATCATTTCGAGAAAACCGGACTTATCAGACCAGACTCTTTAGGATTGTTTATGTCAAACTTTAAGTCTAATCCTATACCAACAGATGGTTCATTGGAACTGACAGTATGGAGCCCCGATTCTACTGATTCAATTGAAATGATCACAGACGTAGTACCAAAAACGTTGGATTTCATGACGTCTTATTTGGCAACCAATTTTCCGACCAACAAACTTGATATAGTTGTCGTTCCTAGCGCGGTCATGACTACAGCTGAAAGTCCAGGCTTAATCATGATTAAGTTCGTTTAATTAAAATTAATCATACTATAATTAAATTAAATGTATATATTACATGTATATTGTTGTATATTTTCAGAGATTCAATTTTAGGTACCATACATAAATCATCGATGATCGAGTACCAAAAATCCGTTGAGTTGATGGTCGTACACGTCATCCGACAATGGCTAATGCCATTACGAGGGCTTGATCGAGGAAGTAATGAGGACAAATGGTTGAACGAAGCTATTGTGAATTTTCTTAAAATAGTGAACATCGATCACGTAAGGCCAAACATTTATAAAATTTATCACTAACGTAATGTATTGTATTTAATGTATCTACTGTTATCATTTTAAGATCAAACCTGCTTGGAATTTCGGAACTAGATTTCCTCTGGACACGATTCAACCAGTTATGTTTTACGACAGTTGGATGAATTCAGATCCACTGGCTAACCATGAACATAATATAGAAATATTTAAATACAAAAATTCTGTGAAAGGTATATCTATTATGTGATAATAGTCGAATGCTTTGAAAATATCATATTCAAAAATGTATTTTTAGGTACATCAATATTGCGGATGTTGAACAACACATTTACTGAAAATATTTTTAAACAAACCCTTAGAGAATTTGTACACACGGAGTAAGTTAAGTTAATAAAATATAAAATGATCAATAATTTTAATTTTAATCAAATTTTAAAATACTTTGTTTATATTAAAACCATTATAGTAGCAAATTTCAATACATATTGAAACGCCTTTATGAATTAGCGGTAGATATTCATGTTAAAATGAATAAATACACTGAAATACTAGTATAAACAGTAAAAAGAATTGCATTTTTAAATTCATTAAAATGATACCTATATAAATTTTTTTTAAACATCAATATTTTTTGAGCTAGGTACAGACATTTTATTTTTCTAAAAAATTTTACAAAATAGACGTTTTTGTTTTTATGGTTATCAACAAAAACATATTTATGTTACATAGATTTTCCTTGAAAAATAATAATATCGAGTAGTGTGCTATGGTTATTTTTATTAAGATTTCAACATAATATAACGTTAAACATTATTAATGTTATTATACATAATCAGTTAAAATATTAATCATAAAAATAATAACATATAATCTAATAGGTATATAAGAATAATTTAAGTAAATAGGTAATATTAATAAGAGATAATTACTAATGCAATATATTATTATGATATTAAGTATTGGAGTGGATTCTACAAAACTAATTAGAGAGCTGAGAGAGATAGTATTATATTAATAATATTAGGATAAATGAGAAATTAATTTAGGACTGTTATAGTTGTAGTAACTAGTAAGGGCTAATGAGCGAGATTATAGTGGGATCAGCCCACTGATAGTAGGAGTTTAAGTAAGGAATTTTCATTCCTGGATAAAGTACATACCTATTGGTAAAACCTCTGGTTACTCCAACACACGATTTCATTTTAGATTCTGAGTGAAACGATGAATGTATTGATTTTACAATGATGTGTGTTTTTTTATTTTTTTTTGTGTCTGTCATCACGTTTTAGGACAGTATAAGTGCTTGGATTTTCTTCATCAGTAGCTTTTCTGATAGGAAAGTGAATCTAGTTGGTACTTTGGGGGGGTCAAAAGTATAAATTTCTCAGTAGTTTTCACAAGCGCCGGGAAAAACAACATAAAAATTAAGGAAAAACGGGAATTTTTACGCAAAATTGGTTTTCCAAAAAAATCGATTTTGGTTATTGGTGTAACTCTAAAACAAATGAACGTATATACATGAAATTTTCACTGGTTGTTAATATTTGCATTTTCTATACACGATAACATTTTCAAAATATTTTGATTTATTTTGAACTGTTTAGGGACATTTTCATTTTCCATTTTTTTTTAGTTTTTTTTCTAAAAATATCAATAAAATTTTATTTGTTGGTTGCGAAAGCTTGAAAATTTAATAGAAGGCTCCTAATATGTTGTTTCAAAGGCAGATGAAAAATATTAAAAATCCTTAGTCACAATTTTTTTTTATAAGCATTTAAAGTTCAAAAATTGACAAAATATGGAAAAATCACGAAAATTAACAAATTATTTGGAGTTAAGAATTCTTAAAAATTTTTCTTTTTAATCTAAGATTTGAAAATGAAACACAAGATTCCTTATAAGATTATCTACCTTTATCAATAAAAAAATCTCTACCGGACAGTCAAATTAAATTTTTATGAGCGTTTGAAATTCAAATTTTTACAACATTGGATACCTATTAACTTGATTTCTCATGTAGCGATTTTCTTATTTTGTTGTAATTCAAAAACGAATAACTATTGATACATGAAAATTTCACTGAATGTTCAGATTAGCATTTAGCATTTAGTGTATACTGTATAATAATGAAAATATTTCGACTCTTTTTGAGCTGTTTACGGACATTTTCAGTTTTCAATTTTTTTAGTTTTTTTTTTATAATTGTCAATAAAATTTTATTTGGTGGGCCAAAAAGTCTGAAAATGTAATACAAGCTTTCTTATATATTGTTACAATATCAGTTGAAAAATTTTAAAAATACATAGGCACGATTTTTTTTTATAAGCATTTAAAGTTGGAATTTTGACAAAATTTATCAAAATCTCGAAAATTATCAATCGTTGGAATAAAAAAATTATAAAATGTTCAGTTTTTATAACTAAGAGTTGAAAATTTAAAACAAAGATTCTCTTAAATAATTCATACTGTAACCAAAAAATCTAAAAAATATATAAACACACTTATTTTTTACAGACATTTTAATTTCATGTTTAGACAAAATTTCATATTTAAACCAAGAATTACGATTTTAGTTATTTTGTTGTGATTGTATAATATTATTCGTGGGTACTTGAAATTTCTAAAGTAATCTACTATATATATCTATGATAGTATCAGGGTTTGTTGTTGGTGTATAACGCGTTATAAGTACCTAATGGATATTGTGATATGATTAATTTGGAATTCATTATAGGTCAATATTTTTTAATACCATAGATATGTATATAATATGTCTTATACCTAGAAGGACATACCGTCTCCGCTCAGAATCGTTTTTCTTATACAATGATATTATATCATTGAATTCAAATTTAATACCATCCATTATACAATGACCCACTTGTAACCTACTGTACAGCAGAGCGACACCCACTTGCCCACCTTTTTAAATATGAGGGATTTTATTACTGGATCCTTAATTGAAGCGTAATCTATATTATTTGATCTTGTATCAACGTAACGCTTCTTAAAGTTTTTTGTACGGTAGGCAACTTTTATAGTTGATATGTGCATCGAAATATAATAAGGCACATTTAGCCGGTAAATCACTATAGTATTATATGTTTATATCATAATATGTACCTATTGCACCTATATATTTTTAGAATTTACAAATATAAAGATACAATAAGTTTTTGGACGTTGTTGGACGATAATGCCAGAAACAAATCAGTGAAATTACCAGAAAGTTCTGCTGTCTTACAAATTGTGAATACATGGATGAAAAACAAAAACTATCCGTTGATAAAATTACAAATCGACGGCGACGATTTAGTTGTGAAACAAGTAATAAATTGAGTTCGATTTATATTTTGTATGCCTAATATGCGGACGACCGAATTTCGTATTTCACTATTTCAGTGTTTGTATATTTTTTACTATAATATCATAATTGTTTTACTTTTATCCATCAAGTTTCGATTCGATTACGAAGAACTTAAACCCACCAACGATTGGGTAATACCAATTACCTTGACTTGTGGCGCAGCGTATAGTACAACAGTGTGGTTGGAAAACAATCCAGAAACCAGAGTGCCGGGATATATTTCAGCATCAAACGGCACGTGGATATTGGCCAACCAACACCAAACAGGTTAGGTCAGTGATATAAGAAAAATAAAGGCGAAAATCAAGTTGAATGTATAGGTTAGGTTGGGTGAGTCAGGTACATGAACTAAGATAATATGGACTGGTAACGGTTGGGCTGGCGGATGGTAGCGGTGCGGTCAAGTTTTAATACGTGGTTTTCTAAGAGGGGGAATTTATCGGATTGGGGCGATCCTTGTGTTGTTTTTTGTAACTATCGTAGTATCGTAGGTATAATATGTATATCGTGGACCGTTGTTACTTGTTTTACAAAATATTTTTAAAATTTATAGTAATTATACTTTATAGTAAATATATATTTCATATATTTCATATTCTTTATATTATGTTTCTCGTTTATTATACCTACTGGGCACTGCCTACTACAGTACTACCTAATAATTTTTATATATTAATTTTTTGCTTGTTGTCTGTTGATAGTGTAGTGTGTATTTTTTTAAACTTTCATCTATTCTATGATATAAATGTACCTACTAATATAGTATGTATATTACAGAGTCAGAGTCTATTAAATACCTATTCAATTTTTACAGCTGTGCAACTAATTCAATTCAGTTTTACCTACCAAATATTGAACATGAATATTTAACATATTGATTACAAAATAGTATTGAACTTTTATTATTAGATTGCTATTAAATTATATTTTTGGTTGGTTATCAGTTTTAACATATTTATTGTTAACTACCAAAATGTACTACATTTATTTTACCTCAGCATTAACAATTCCATGTGCAACCGTATCAAAAATTTGAGGAACTGCACCTTTCGCTAAACTAGGTTTCACTTTTTGAGGAAAGTCTAAACCCTAAATTATGTTAGTATTTTTTTTTTAGTTGGTAATTATTTATTTATTTCTTATGTATGTCCTTCAAAGTTTAAATAACAGTTAAGAGGATGACTTTCACCTCAACTATTACTAAAATTATAGATGATAATATGTTTAAGGGTATGACAAATTGATTTTATATTTTCAAAATTTTATGTTTTCAAAATAAACAAAAAAATTGTGTAAATTTAAATAATGTTTAATTTGTTTTGAGACAATATTTAGACAAACCGACTATGTTATACCTTCAAAAATATTATTCTCTATCGTTTTTGTAATAGGTGATTTTACTCTAACATTGCTTAAAAACATAAAAAAAAATGATTCTGCAAAATTGGGTTTTGTTTATGTTGCACGTGGGCCAGATAGAGAAAACAAAATTGCGCTGACATCCTCTTAAATTTTACCAACTATGTTTTTAAAATATTGTTTATTTTAAAATTTAATTAATATTTACTCTAATTATAATATGCACAATACCTCAACACCAGCATAAGTTTTTACTATATCTTTAGGGAGAAAATGTTTTTCACAAATAAACTTAATTTTGGTATCGCATCCATTAATTGATTTAATAATTTCTGTCCAAGAAGAAAACGATGCCTTAGGAATACTAAAAAAGCTGCATTCCCCATCAAAACTTTTGCAACTAATTATACAACACTTTCTGGACATTTTTAAAAATGAATACCTTATACTACTAACTACTAAGGGGCAAGTGTATACTAATAAGTAATAAGAACAAAATATAAGTCTTTCAAAATGTGTTTTATTATAATTTCATGACAAGTTTAATACAGTTTTTAACAAGTTATTTGCAATATTCTACATGTTCAGTCATGTTATTTGAAACTTATTTTTGTTTTTGTCCAACAGATGTCGCTTCAGCTTCACAATTTCTCCCACCACAAAAAGTCCGTATTAAAACCTGACCGCATATTTTACCGTCGTTGCCAGTCCATATTATCTTAGTTCATGGTCAGGTATATATAAGTTATGTATATGTTGTTACCAACATAATAAAATAAAATATGTATCAATGTTGTTACCAACATAATTAAATAAAATATGTATCAATGTTGTTACCAACATAATTAAATAAAATATGTATCATTATGTATCCCAAAACTCTTATGTTTCAATATAGTATACCCTATATACTTTTTACATGGCTATAGATAAACATTGTATACGAGTGTATTTTGTTGTACAATTTCGACTGTATAATTTTAATTTATTATTGTTTGGAAAAAAAATCAACAACGATTAATTGGAATCAACTACAGTCACTGAAGGATAATAATATTAAAATACGGAATTTATGCCCTTAATATGATTCAAAATTAATTATAAGTGACTGCTAACATAATGAATATCCGTTACAATAATCTCGATAATTGACACATTAGGTTGGAAATCTTAAAAAAATATGTACCTACCTATTCGAATTTATTAATTATTATCATAATTGTTCGTATTTCAGGTTACTACAGGGTGGCATACGAGGATGCTCTCTTGGATAGAATATCTTACGAGATAAGTAATGGCAAATCATTTGACGAGTACACCGTGGCACAGTTGGTTGGAGACATTTTCGAAGGAGCCTTTGCCGGTGTTATCGGATTCAGCGATGCCTTAGGATTCCTAGAAAGGGTTATTCAAAAAGCAGGTCCGTATCCTGGATACTGGCACGCCATTTTTAATGCATTCAATAAAATAGAGATGGTGTTGCATAACACTAAACATTACGATTCTCTTTCGGTACGTATTTTACTGTACATCGCGTACACAATGAACGTAAATTCATTACAATACATTGAATTGTTTGAGTAAATTTAGATATCACTTTAGTTATTAATTGTCACTTAAAACAATATATTTTAAACTAAATACTTGTTATTATATTCTCATTCAACTGTCATCTGAATTCAGTGTTATTTTCATTAATTAACCAAGAACAAAAACATTATTTTACCCCATACTAACCAGTAAATAAAAATAAAATAAATTTGTATTTTAATCCTATTCTGTTGAATGGAATATTTTAGTAAACTATTTTAGTTTGTATATTAATTTAAATGTTTTATTTATAACCGAAGGTTTATATGGAAATGGTGGTTGAGAAAGCATATGATATGTTTCAAGCAAGTACAATTGATTCACCTGAAAAAATATTAGGCAAAATGGATACGTTAAATTTTGCTGGACGTGTTGAATTGAAAAAATGTGTCTGGTGGGCTAGAGAACAGTTTAATGATTGGAAGCAGACTACAACTGATATAAATCCGTAATTACACATTCATTATTATAACCATAAATATTATTATAATTATCAGTTAAACCTAAACGTATATACCTAAGAATAATAAATGCTGAATTATCCATCGATAATCAAAAAAAATTCAGAGTACTTTACTAGATAATATTTTTCCTCTATAAAGAAAATCTATGGACCATAATTCATAAATAATAAGTTTTTGTTAACAAGACGTAATCGTGACAATGAAAACCTTACGAAAAATCGGTCAGAATCAAAAAACATGTTTGTTTAAAAAATTTATTTATGTGTTTTTTTAAACCGTCGGAAATTGATTTTCTTATATAAATATATTACTATTATGGAACTCTTAAAATTAGCTATCAATTAATAGGGATTTGTCACTCGTTTTCACCAACCTCCCCAGACGTTCAACAGTCTGCGTGTGAGCGAAAGTTCATAGGCTAAAAATATATACATATATTTGTGATTCACTCAAAAATACGTGAATAATGGATAGTTGCTATATTAATATTTAATTCTAAACTATGACAAATCAATAAATAACATGATAATATCAATAAAAATAAATAAAAGTATAATAAACCATGAAATGAGATAATTTTTCGGATCTTTTTTTTACGATGATACACGCGAGTATAATTTTTAGATTTATTTCAGAAATGGAAATGAAATGATATTTTATTTATTTCAAATAGTTTTAATGTTATCAATCGTTATCTAATTTTGCTAAAACATTGTAAAATTACGTGGTTGGTATATTAAGTAGGTATTTACTATTTAATATTCTAGTATTTGCTTTTTATTTTAATCATTTTCATTTTTAATTTAATCTGAACCAAACCATGCATTAGGTAGTGCATTACACATTCCAAGAAACTACAAACATTTGATAAACACTATTAAAATGTTATTAATATTTTTTGTAGCAGTTTTACTAAACATGTTAAATGAGAAAGGAACCTCGTTTTTAGTGAAAGTGCTTTGGGAGTTAAACATTACGGCTTAAAAAGCAAAAAAAATTGATATCATAGATTAAATTTTTTTTCAAAATCAACAAAATGTTTTATAAATAAAAATATGAAAATACATTAACTGAAAAGTCATCATAGTCTAATACTGATAAAGTAAGATTGAGCGTTAAATAAAAATATATTACTAATTTTTAAAACGTTTGAGATAAAATTAATAAACACAAAAAAATAAAAATAGTACATTTTGCCTATATTCTCTTAATTTTTATTGATTCATAATATTAAGACCGAATGGAGAGGTTCATTTAAATTCAAATTTTTCAACAGTATGTTGTATAAATATATTTTATAATATTTATCCTCAATAAATTATATTTTTATAATTTCTCTGTAACATAATATAAATCTATTAGAGTCTTTAATTGAATTGTTTATCGCAGTTAAATATCTTTATGTTTTCAATATATATAATATGTGTTAAAACTTTAAATTATCCGATTATGTGATTATTTACTATAAGCAAGTATAAACTAAAATTAAAAAAGAGGCACCCATTAAGTATTAAACTCGATTTAAAAATGATTCAAGTTTATTAAATAAGTAAAGTTATAGGTAATAAGAATAAACAATAAAATGCCTGCAATAATCATCAAAAGTAGTTTTTGATGAATTAAAACACAATCACTCATACACGCTCATGCACGAATCACTTTAAATCAAAGTTACTATTGATAAGTTTATATGATTATCTTAGTTCGGATGTGTTGTAATTTAAAAGTTTATATGACGTGTACAGCATAATATATACGTAGTACACACACGACACACACATACACATATTAGATATATATATATATTATGTGAGACCTTAATTTTCTTTAAGAAACTTTTGTGTTTACTAAATGTTTCA